CTGCACGCCTCCCTCCATTGGCTGCTGGGCGGGCATCGACCCACACGTGTGTTTCTCGTGCGCGTTGCGGCGGCGGGGTGTCTGCCTGCGTGCCAAAAATCTTTTTTTCCGCAACCCCTCGCCCACCCGCTTTCTCCCTCTCTCCCTCTCTCTGTTTGTGTGCGTGCGTGCGTGGGCTCCCGCAGCACGCCTTCGACAGGGCCGGTGTGAGCGGCGCACAAAGGCGGTGAGGGGGTGGTGGTGGAAAGCGCATATATTTGCCCGGGTGTGGGTGGGGAGGGTGCGGTCCGGGCCTCTTCCGCGCGGAGGAGGCGATCAGCCGAGAACAGCGAGACCGCGAGGAAAGTAAAAACACAAAAAAAAACAATAAAATAAATCAAAAATCAGAAACAAAAACAAACAAAAAACACACACATAAATTATACAGCGGGGCACACCGGGAACGAGAGGTCAACGCTAGGGCCGGGGAAACGGAGGCAGTGCGAAAATGAAGAGCCAGTCGACTGCAAAGGCGGCACCGAAGAACATCTCCGTGTTTCTTCGTGTGCGTCCCACCATTGCCCGTGAGTCGAAGGACTCATGCAACAACCTGACCTTTGACCCCAGCGATCCGCAGACCGTTACCGTGACGCGAAAGAGCGGCTCAAGGGCGATTTCCAAGTCGTATACGTTTAACAAAGTCTTCACCCCGACGACGGGGCAGACGGAGGTGTACAACGAGTTTGCGCGGGGCGCCGTTGACGCCGCCTTTGATGGTCAACATGGCGTGCTTTTTGTCTACGGGCAAACAGGCTCTGGTAAGACGTACACCATTAGCAATGATGACCCAAAGAACCCTGGCATGCTGCAGCAAGGCCTACACGATGTCTGGAATCGCATTTACAATGACCCAGAGCACGATTACAGCTGCACTGTGAGCTATGTGCAGCTGTACAATGAAATCCTGACGGACCTGCTGGACGCAGAGAAGGGGCGTGTGCGTATTCAGCTTGGCCCGGAAGGGTGCGGCGACGTCGTGCTTGTCGCGGAGTCGACTGGCCTGCCCATTGAGAAGGGCGTGCAGAATTACGAGGAGGCAATGGAGTTGTTTGCCCTTGGCATGAGCCGCAAGGAGATGACAAGCACGGTGATGAATGAGAGCAGTTCCCGCTCCCACACCATCTTCAACTTCAACATCACCCGCTCCAAGAAGGTGAAGGCGGTGGAGTTGGGCGAGACGCCGACGACGGCGTTGGAGGGCCGTCTTGTGATTTGCGACCTGGCCGGCAGTGAGCGGGTCAGCAAGACGCACGCCGAGGGGAAGACGCTGGGCGAGGCAACCCACATCAACGGGAGCCTGCTCGTCCTCGGGAAGGTGGTCGCGGCACTGACGGAGAAGAGCTCCCAGCACGTGCCGTTCCGTGAGTCCAAGCTGACCCGCATCCTGCAGTACTCGCTGCTGGGCAACGGCAACACCTCCATCGTGGTCAACTGCAGCCCCGCCGACGATTCCTCCGAGGAGACGCTGGGCGCCATCATGTTCGGCCAGCGGGCAATTCAAATCAAGCAGGAGGCGAAGCGCCACGAGGTGCTCGACTACAAGGCACTCTACCTGCAGCTCATGGCTGAGCTCGATTCCAAGAACGACGGAACACTGGAGGATGCCCTGGGAGAGGAGCGGCGCGTGTACGAGGACCGTGTCAGCGCCTTGGAGGACCGTGTAAAAATTCTTGGCACCGAGAACGATCTCCTGCGGCAGCAGATCGCGGCGCTGCAGCGCGGGGACGCTGGCGGAAGGGCCGTCGACGATGCCGCCGCCGGCTGGCAGACGGTAAGTAGGCAGATGCGGGAGAAGCTGATCGAGCGCGATGCGGAGGTCAAGTCCATCACGGAGGAGAGGTTCAAGCTCGCCATCCTGCTTGCGGAAGAGAAGCGCACGACGTTCAGGCTGGCGGAGCGTCTGCGCTCCATCATGATACGCTACCAAATGGACTCCAGGCAGTGGACGCAGCGGCAGGAGGAGCTTGGCCTGGAGCTGGCGCGACTGAAAGGCACGGACTACATCAGCGTCACGGGCGACATGAGCGAGTGCGCCTCGCCGGGTGCGGCGGCGAGTCAAGCCTATTCCACGGATTCCATGAACACCTCCCCGGGGAAGGGCGATGGGTACTTGCAGGAGCAGCTGGAGAAGGCCTACACACGCATCCGCGAGCTGAATGAGGAGCGAGTGGAACGCATAGTCTACCAATCCAAGGCGGAAAAGGCTATTCGTATGCTGCACGCCGAGAAGGCGGCCCTCGAGAAGAGGCTCGCCCAGTAGCGTGCGATCTGCAAGGAAAAGCAGGGAAGAAGCGTGGTGTGCCGCTCTTGTTTTTTGTTTAGTTACTCTCATTCCTTTATTTCTGCCTACTGAGAGTCGATTCCAAAGAATGAAGCGGTGTCTGTGTGAGAGAAAGAGAGAGAGAGTGGTAGTGATGATGGAGAGCAAATATATTTGCTAATGCCTCGTCCGCCCTTTTTGAGTTTTTGTGTGTTTTCTGTGTCTTGTTTTTTCCTTTGAGCGAATCCCCATTTCTTTTTCGTTGCTTCATTGATGAGTCCGTCGGGCGCAGCGTCTTTTATATTTGTTTTTCTCCTTCCCTCTCGCTCTTTTCATCCCGGTGTGGGTCGTTGCTTCGCTGCACGGCTGTGTGCGGGGCAGGTGTCCCTGCAACTTGTGTGCGTGAGTGCATCTGCGCTCCCCCCTCTCACTCTCGCGCCGTACATGCGTGCCCGTGTCGAAGATGCGGTTTGCCCTTGAATCCCTCTGCCTCCCCAACGGTTTTTTATTTTTATTGACTGCCTCTTCCTCCCGTCCTCACCGCCATGGATTGCGTGCCGCGGGAAGTGTAGGTGCGGGAACGACAGAAGCACAGACACGCACACACGTATATATATATATATTTATAAATATAGCATAGAGGGAGGGTGAACGATGTCGTTGCGCTCGGCGTCCGTCTTGGCGCTTGACGTAAACTGCCCTCCGGCCTCGCTGGCGTTGGCGGTGGAGTTCTGCCGCCGCTCAGCAGAGGCGGCGATGATGTTCGCGCCACACGACGAGATGGCGCTGGTCCTCGCCGGCACCCGTGACTCACACAATCCGCTGCATCACAGCCGCGGCGGCACGGGTGGGACGCGGTTCAATCACATCTCCGTGCCCTGCGCCCTCGCTGCGCCGACGGTAGACTTTTTGGAGCCACTGGCGCACATCACACCGCCGTGTGAGGGCTATGAGGCGGACTTCTTGGAAACCCTCCTTGTGAGCGACCAGGTGATGCGTGAGCGGACGGCAAACAAGTGCTACAGGCGTGTTGTGTTTTTGCTGACCGACGCCCACACCGAGGTGCTGCGGAAGGAGGAGATGAATCCACTCCTGGAATCCTTCCAGCAACACGAGGTGGCTTTAATCGTCATCGGCATTGATTTCACTGAGCCGCCCGCCAACGCCGCCGACGCCTATGAGCGTGACGGTGGTAATGAGCACTTGGCGGGCCTTTCACTCAAGGCACAGAACGAGCGGGTCCTGCGCGCCATGTGCTTTTTGCTTGGAGAGGAAAGCGCGGTGGTGTCGTTGGACGACGCCCTGCGCGGCGTGGACGAGCTCCGGCGACGAAAACTCACTCAGCGCCCCCTCCTGAGAGTCATCCTCACCGTCGGGGAGGTGCGTTTGGCGACGCAGATGTTCACGAAGGCGCAAGAGGAGCGGCTGCCGCCGCTGAAGCGAACGACCGCAGCGGGGGAGGAGGTAAGCATGCGGACAATTTTCCAGGGCCTCCGTGAGCGTGCGACGCCCTTGCAGCGAAGGGATCTTTGGAAGGGGTACCGCTACGGTTGCAGCCTTGTCCCGTGCTCGGAGCAGGACGCGGAGGCGATGAAAGTCAAGGGGCCCAGAGCGCTGGATGCCCTCGGATTTGTGCCGCTGCAGCAGGTCCCTGTCTATGTGCTCTTGGGCGGGGTGAAGGTGATCATGCCGCTTGATGACGACACGGTGGGGGCGAAGGCCTTCCGCAGCATTGTGCAGGCGATGAACGCGGCCGGCCGGGCGATGGTTGTGCGCTTTGTTCGCACCCGTGACGCGGACCCCGTGCTCGGTCTTTGCGTGCCCTCAACGAAGCAGCGGCGGGATGTCCTTTTCTTTTCGCCCCTCCCCTTCGCGGAGGATGTGCGCTTCTTTGAATTCTCAGACTACGCGGAAGTGCGGGACGACGACGACGACGCTGACGCCGCAGAGGAGGCGGGGCTTGTGGCTGCGATTGTGGAGGACATGACGGTGGAGAAGGAGGTGCTGCGACCGCGGGAAACGTTTAACCCGGTGCTTCAGCAGTACTACGCGACGCTGCGTGCAAAGCTGCGCTGCTGCTGTGACGGCGAGAGACTGGCGGCAGGAAGCGAGACGCGCGAGGCGGACGGCTTGCGGGGGGAGGCAAGTGGGGCCAACACCGCGGCTGGAGAGGTGTTGCTGCCGCTTGCGCGTGCGGTACAGGCCACCTCTGCCGCCTACGGCTTGCCGGGGAACCAGCTGGAGCCGATGCTCTCGAGCGTGCGGGCCAAGCTAGAGGCGTGCTCCCGCAGCTTTGTGTACGTCCCAAGTAGAGCGGATGACGTGGCGGAGGGGCGGCGGCGGCGGCGGCGGGCGTATTGGTCCCACTCGCCTGCCGGCTCCCGCGAGGTGGAGGCGTCCGATGCGTCCAGCCGGGACCCCTCCACCGTTGCGACGCCGTGTTTTGTCGACGGCGCCGCACGCATCACGACCATGGATCCGGTTTGCTCCTTCCGGGCGGTGCTGCAGTCGCGCGGGGGCACCGAGGTCCGGCGGGCGATGGATGAGTTGGCGGACGCCGTCTTCAGGCTGCTTCGCTACAGCCTGAAGGACGCACAGTACGCCAAGGGTGCGGAGTGCGTCTTACTTCTCCGCCAGCACTGTCTTGAGACGGGGGAGGCGGATTACTTCAACCGGTTTCTGCTGAAACTTATGCTCCTCGCGAGGGAGTTGGAACACGAAGCATTTTTGCACGGCGAGATTGTGGCACGTGGCATCGCCCCCATCACGCGGCGGGAGTGCCCCAACAGCACGATTGCTGACGAGGAGGACGCCAGGCGGTTTCTCACGCAGGACCGTCGTCTGCCCGCCCCTCTTCTGGAAGACCCCGACGAGGCGGAGGTGCTCAACATGATCGTCTGATGCTCTCTCTTTGTGTACATGCCCGGTGTGCGACCTCTTTTTTTTTTCTTTTGTTTTCGCCTCTCTTTCGGGATGCTTCTTTGGGACGGGAGTGCGATGGGTGCCGGTGGGCCGATGCAACTCTTCCTTGGGTATGTGAGCGTGTGTTGAATGTCTTCAGCCATCCACCTCCTTTTTTTTGTTTTTGTTTTTGTTTTTGTTTCCGTCTCTCCTGCATCTGTAGGATTTGCCGTTTGACATATCATTTGCGCCGGACTTTCAGTTTGCAATGAGCGAGGCGGAACTTCGCCTCTTCGAGTTGCTTGACAGGACGGAGGCGGCGGAGTCGGGCGCCGTGCCCCTCGCGTCTCTGCAGGAGGCCTGCACTGAGGTGCCGTACGTGTCGGCCAGGCTCGGCGGCAGGCGGCGATACCAACTCTACCGCGGCCTGCTCCTGGACCGGCCCCCAACCGCGGTGCCAGACGCCTTCCGGCAGCATGCGGGGGAGGCGGGCGAGATCCACAAGCGGGTGGCGGCGCGCCTGCACGGGGTCCTGGGCGGAGACGCGCTGCTCGAGGAGGCGGACCTGCAGGGGTTTGTCTGCTACTTCGCCTCCGAAACCGGGTGCGACTTTGACGACGAGATGACGGGCATTACGCTCGCACTTGCCACGGTGGTTGCTGCCGCAGAGTTGACGCCTGGCGCGGAGAAACTTCGCCGGCTTTATCAGCTGCTCGAGGTGTTGCGCAAGGATTTTGTTGTGCCCAGCGCTTCTCGCGCCTTTGACGGCTCCCTTGCGCCGCTTCTGCGCCTGCTGTTGCAGTACCACGACCCGTGCCTCGCGCGCCACCTTGACCAGCGCGTTGTCAACGTCGGGGCGGTGCTCCTCGACTGGGCGCGGCGCCTCTTTGTGGTGGGCGACGGCCTCCAGGAGGCGCTCGGAGTCTGGGACTGGCTGTTGATTGTGGGGGACCCCACAATGACGGTGTACTTCGCCCTCTCGTACCTCGTAGCCCACCGCCAGCGCTTTCTCGCCATGGAAACACACGAGGAGCTGGCGGAGGCGCTCCGAGCCCCCGCCTTTGCGCTGCCCACGCGAAAGGAGGACGCGGTGGACCCCGCGCTGCACGACGGCAGACCTGTTTCCTTCCTCTCGCTCAGGTCCGGCAAGTCGCTGGCGCAGAACGCGGATATCGCCTACCAGAGTACCCCGCACTCCACCCGTTGCGTGATTGACGCCTTGCTGTTTCCTGACGAGGGCGGCCTAGGCAAGAGCCCCGACGCCTTGGAGAAGTATTACACCGCCTACACGGCCTTGCCGCTGGAGCGCTCTGACTTCGCCGAGTCCTTCGCCGTGCAGCCCGCCGCGCAAACGGAACTGGCCGCACTGGGCTACGTCGTGCTAGACTGTCGTTCCCGTGCAAGTTATGACTTTGCCCGACTTCCAAGCGCCATTCACGTCGGGGACGACATCGGCTTCGATAACGAGAAGCTTGACAAGGTGGTCGCGAAGCTGGGGGACGTCCGAGGGACCCATCTCTGCGTCTTTGGCACAGGCCGGCCCATCACGGAGGAGTTCAACCTCCTCAAGCTGGTGTCCCTGCACCTCGTGCAGAGCGGTTTTCCGTACGTGAGCATAGGCGGGTTTCGCGCCCTTGTTCCTCTCATAAAGGCGCAGGCAGTCACCATCACACGCGCCTCAACGGTCGACATGGCACGAGGGGAGGTAATGAGCTCCGTCACGGCGTTGAAGAACGGCCTGGCGGAGATGCTGCCGCATCTTGAGTTTGACAAGGAGGAGGCGCGGCGAAGGGCGGAGGCGGTTGGCCACAAGGCGAAGGAGGGCGTGCAGGCGGTGAAGTCGTGGGGGTGGAGCATGGTGCGGCGCGTGGGCCAGCGACTGGCCTCTAGCGGCACATCTTCCCCCACTGCAAACCCCACGGCGAGCGCAGCGGCGAGTGAGGAGACCGGCAACGGCGGTGGCGGCGGTAGAGGCGGTCGTTCCCTTCGGCCGGCGCGTGCGACAGCGGCCCAGCACGCCTTCTCGCTGGGCGCCGGCGACGACGCGGGTGACGAGGACGATTTCGACCTCATCACCAGCGTCCCTCTCTACACCGGCACCGCCGTCGCCCACCGCGAGGGTGAGCGGGTTGTGAAGGGGGCGCTTCTCGCGCAGTCGTCCTCCTCGCCGCCCGAGGGGGAGGAGGTGGAGGCCTCCCCCGCCGCAGCCGACCCCGCGGCCCCCCCGACAGCCAAGCGCATTCTTATGGAAATAGATGAGGAGTTTGACCGGCTCTTCGGCGACTCCACCCCACCGCGGGGCACTTCGTCTGAGGCGGCAGCGGCGACACCGAAAGAGGAGCAGGCGCCTCAAGGCGACGCCGCTGCTGACGCAAAGAGTCCCCTTGAATGAGCCGAGAAAAAAAAAAGAAAAATATTTTTGTTTTATTTTGAATATATAAATTTTTAATATATATATTCATTGGTTTGTTTGTTCAGAGCGGGATAGTCCCGTTTTCTGAGTGGGGGTCGCTCCTCTTGCCGGCATTTCATTTCCTTTTGCTTTCTTTTTCTCTCTCTTACTTTCCCCCTGTGTGTGTGTGTGTGTGCATTCCATCGTATCTCTGGAGGACCAATGCATCCTTTGGCATGCTTCTCCCCCTTCTCTTGACAGCAGCTCAGCAATTCCCGCAGTCAAACACGCAGAATACATATTTATATAACTGCAAGTGTTTGTGCGTGTGGTTCGGTGGTGGCACTGGCAGTCTTATGCATATTTCTGCAGACTTGTAGCCAATGAAGAGGGATCGTTTGTTGGCGCTTCTGGCCTTGGCTGTGTTGACCTTGACGTGCGGCCTACTGGTCGTGAACTCCTGGACGAGCGGTGGGCGGGAGGAGAGTCCACCAGGGAAGAGCTCTTCCTTCACGACGAACTACGCCGCGGCGTATTTGGGCGCCACGCTGACCGATTTCAGTCGTGCCTGCAAGGGCGCCTCGTCCGTGCTCAATGACGAAAAGGAGAAGTACATGATATGCGCCTGTGAGGCGACCAGGAAGCTGTTCACGGTGCAGCTTATCCGCGAGATTGAGGTTCGCGTCGTCACGTTGGTGAACCTGGAGCATTTCAGTTCGAGCGTGAAGAAGTTTATGCTGCTCGGCAGCAAAAAGTACCCCACCAACGAGTGGCGTGTGCTGGGGGAGTTCGAGGCCAGTCCGTGGCGCGGGGCGCAGCACTTCGACGTGCCGCCGCAGGAGCCGGTGCGCTTCCTGCGGCTCATGTGGGTCACCTCCCACGGGGACGACTCGTGGTGCACGCTGACCGCCTTCAAGGCGTTTGGCGTGGACGTGCTGGAGACCCTGACGCAGGACTACGGCGGCGAAGTGGAGGAGTTGCTGCAGGGGCCGCTGGACAGGGCCCTGCCGGCGCCCCCGAGCTTCGTCGCGCCAACGCCGCCGGCTTCCACGGGGGTGGATGCACGTGCCAGCGGGCCCGCGGCCGGGCTGCAACGCCCTAGCGAAGGAACGAAGCCCCGCGGCGATGCGGCGCTCGAGAAACTCTTCCGGCAGGTGGATGCCATCGTTTTGGCTGGTGCCGGGCGCAGCGGCAACGGCAGCAGCGACGACGGCGACGCCGCCGCCGACTCCTCCAGTCGCTGCGACGACGGCGACTTTCTTGACAACGCCTCCCAGACGTGCATGCTGCACGAGCGTCAGGCGTTCTTGTCCAGCTCCCGCTGCAAGTGCTTTCCTAGGCCGCCGCTCTTCGGCAAGATGGCGCTGGCGCCGAAGCCGTTCCAAGGGGGGACGGTGCTGCAGATCATTGCACAGATGAGCAAGCATCTCAAAATGCTGCAGCAGGAGCTGGAGGAGGCCTCTGCCCGGCAAAGGGCAATGCAGGCGCGGCTAGAAAGCGCCGAGGTGGCGGTTGCGTCCATTAGGCTGCACCTTCGCGAAACGTTGCGGTTCACCTGCGACTACAGTGAGCGGTTCATTGAGCTGAAGAAGGAGATGGATGCCGTGAAGGCGCGCCTCGCACTTGCGTTGGAGCCAAGGGGCCGCAAGGGGGGTCGTGTCACCTTACAGATGTGGGTGGCTTGCTCCAACGCGTTGGCCTTTGTCGCCCTCCTCGCGGCGTGTTTTGTGCCTCGCCCAACCATCCCCATCGGAGCCCGGCGCTTCACGCTGCGTGGGTAGCCCCCCGCGCTGCGTCTCTGTCGCCTTCATATTTGTCTGCGTGCCCTTTTTTATTCTGCTATTGCTGAGAATTTCTTGAGGTTTTTTTTTTTTGACCTCAGTTGTGCCTGCGTGCGTGCGCTGCGCCGACTCCCCGCCCCGACACCCCCTCTTTTTTTTTTTTGTTGTGTGTGTGTGCAAAAATATTTGCTTTGTTTTATTACTTTGCCGCCGCCCCTCCCGGGAGGAGCTTCCAGAAGGGAACAGAAGGCGAAGAAGGGAGGGGAGGAAAGGAGAAGTTGCGCAGCATCCCCCGCGGCGCAGACGCAGCCACAGTTGCATCAGCCCAGACACGGTGTGTCCCTCTGCGCGTTCCACGCGCGGGGGCGTTGGCGCAAACACCTTCGCCCCACTTGAATTCCTCCGCCCACTCCCGCCAAGGAAACATCTCATTCCTTCTCGCTGCCGCGTATAGTAAATGCAGCAGAAAGTACTTATCGTCACCCCAGTTGCCTTGTTCGAGCTTGCGGATGGAAAGACCGTGGAGCGTGGAAATTGTGCGTGCGCCGTCGTGGGGCTTCCGGGAGATCGGCCCAGGTACAGCCTTGTGTGCTACAATGAACGCCGCGAAACGCTCTGCGTGGGAGCCATGGCCTCAGCCAATGAGCACAGTCTTCAGTTTGAACTGCAGGCGAGCCTGTACGCTAGTTTTCGTGACAGCGCGGGGAGACGGTGGAGCTGCATGTTTCTAAAGGAGTCGCAGGTGGAGTCTTTCCTGGCGGTGCTTGGGATTGCCCTCTACGCCTTGGCGGGCCAACCCGCACACGCGACCGTCATCAGCGACTTTGCGCCGCCGGCGGGGGAGGTCCGGCTCGGTCTGCAGCATCGTGTGAAGGTGCGCTACTCCGCCTTTGCCATCCGCAAGGGCGACGTGCTGCAGCTCGGGGAGCTGCTGGAGACGAACGGCGACCGCCCGTACAACTTTCAGCCGGTGCAGTCGACGATGGCGCTGCACGCAGAGGCCAAGGGCTTCGAGTCGAGCGTGCTGGGCATGATGGAGGACACGTGGCGTACTGTCGTGGTGCCGGCGACGCTCCCGCGCTCGGGCGGGAGGCGGCTGTACGGCGGCGACAGCGTGGCCTTCGTGCTGCAAGTCGTCCGCATTCTCCACGACGAGGCCCCCATGACGGCGGAGGCCAAAGTGCCCGCGGTGTTCGCCGACGCCGACGACGGCAACGCCGCCGCCCTGGTTCCGGTCTCCGCGCCGGCGCGGGACGCGAACGGCACGAAGATTGTCGTGCTGCACACGGAACGGCGGGAGGGGGCCGACGACGACGCGGTGCGTCTGCGCACCTCCGCCTGCGGCGCGGCGGGCGGCGGCGTGCCCACGGAGCACATGGCGCTGCTGCAAAAGTTGGGGGCGCAGATCAACCGCGCCACGACCGACGCGCGTGACGTGCGTGACGTTGCCGTGGGCGTGACCGGGGAGTGGAGGCAGGCCGTCGACCGACCGACGCCGTCGGCCCTGACAAACGCGGCTCTGGAGCAGTCCGTGAAGCGGCTCGTGATGGAGAACGAACGCGTCGTGGACGACATCGCCCGCCGCGATGAGCTGCTGCAGGCGCTTGACCAGCGAAATCGCGAGCTGCAGAAGCGTGTGGATGTCGCGGCGATGGTGGCGCAGCAGCTGCTCGACGAAAAGAACGACTCGGTGCGCACCGCCTCGGAGGTGAAGCTGGAGAAGGAACGCCTTGTCATGAAGCTGCAGGAGCAGATCAACCAGGCGGCGCAAGAGCGGGACGACACCCAGCGTCATCTTCAGACCGTCAAGAAACTGCTTGCGGTGTCGGACGAGGAGCTGAGCCAGATACGAGGCAAGGCCGACGTTCACGCCATACAGGCAGGGAGCATTGTGGCAAAGCTGGACACCACACAGGACGCCTTGGCTGAGGAACGTGCACGTCGCAAAGGACTGGAGGCGAAGGTGATGACTCTGCAGGAGGAGATTCGAAACGCCGAGGCGGAGCTGCACATCAAAAACGCTCAACTAGAGGAACTGCGTCGCACGGCCGACATGGAGCGGGCACACTACGCCCAAATCATGGAGGATGAGCGGCAGCGTCGTGGGTTTGAGGCACAGCAGTTGCGTAGTGAGATTGTCTCGGATCTGCAGTCGCGCGAGGCCAAGTATCAGGCGGATCGTGCTCGTGTGGCGGAGGACAACTTCAGGCGCGGGCAGGCCGAGGGCAAAGAGATTGGCAGGCGCGAGGCCCGCATTCATGTAGAGACGCAGCTGGAAGAGCTTCAGCTTGACGCACAGCGGGCCCTGACAGAGCTGGATGCATCCAAAACCGAGCTACGGCGTGTTATTGAGGAGGGCATGGCGCAGAACCGCACCCTTGGGTCCAAAGTGGCGGAGCTCAAAAGGCAAATGTATGAGGAGACGCGAAAACGAGTGCGGTTGGAGTTTCAGTTGCATGACATGCGCGCCAAGGTGCGGTGTGCGCAGGACAACCTCATGGCTGCCTTCACGTCTGTTGTGTACCGGCTGCAGCGTCCAGCGGAGGCGGTGGACTTGCTGCAGCTCCTGGACGCGCTCAGGCAGCGGCGGAAGTTGGATTTCAGCTTTGAGAAGCGGAGTCAGGCGGCAGAGGAGCTGGAGGCCGTGCAGCGTCGCCATGAATGGATTGAGTCGAGCATGCTGTCTCTGTACCACAGCAGAGCGAAGGCGATTTATCTTGCCTGTGTGGAGCCACTGCTGGCGGAGCAGGCGGCGACAGCGGAGGCGGTGCGCCGTCTTTGGCTGGAACGCGACGGTAGCGCCCACTATGAACTCAGCGCGGCGGAAACGCACGAGCGGGGCGTGATTACGCAGGCAATGGAATCCTTCTTCCAGGAACTCTCCGCGTTTTTCACGGGGCAAATGCGGCAGCGCGCTGAACTCGTTCATGAGGCAGAGAGGGCATGCAGAGCGAGCTTGGAGGAATACATGGCGGTTGCTGAGGCGATCAATGCACATCGGCTTGGCGAACTTCAGGCGCGGCGGGAAGTGAAAGGGGCCTGCATGGCGGCACGCAGCGTCACGGAGGAGGAGCAGGCGACGGCGTTCCGCCGTCTCTTGTCGGAGGCGTTGGCGGCCGCGATCACGCTGGGGCAGAGCGCCTTCATGGAGGCAGAGGAGCGGGAGCGGGCCAGCCTTGATGCGGACCAGTGCGCTGAGTTTAGCGGGATGCTCTTTGACTGCGGCGCGGGGCTGGCGACGCTGCGGCGTCTCGCGGCTGTCGCTGAAGCGCAGCAGAAACTGATGGCGGCAGAGGCGCAATCCCGGGCGGGTGTTGCGGCGGCGGCGGAAGTTGCCCTGCGGGGTCTCACCGAGGAGGAGTTGCGGCAGCGACCGCCGCCGCTGCAGTCGCCGGTTGCAGAGGCGGCGAGTGGTGCAGCGGCCTCCGACACGCACCGTCCGCAGCGCCCCGGGGAGGGGGAGGGGGAGGAGGAGGAGGAGCGGGCGCCTTTGCACCCACTGGGGGCGGCGGGCCAAAACCCCCCGCCGCGCGAGTGCGCCACGAGCGACAGCAGCGACGCGAACGCCGCCGCGGCGCCACCACCGCCGGCCGCCCGTGTTGCCCCGCTACCCACGCAAGCGGCGGTGGCGAAGCCCAACCTCTTCGGTTCCTCTAGCGACGACGACGATAGCGGCGGTGGGAATGCGAGGCCGCTGCCAGCGGTGCAGAGGCCCGCGGCGGCCAGGCGCATGCCCCCGCCGAAGGCCAAGCTTTTTGACAGCAGTGACAGCAGTGACTAGTGGTCAGTAGCGAAACAAGTAAAGGGGAGGACGGGGGCAACATCAACAGCAATGGGCAAAAGGAAGACGGGAGTAAAAAAGAAAACCAGGGCGTGACTACGCCAGTATCGGGCATGCGATGCGGGCGCGGGGATGAATATGCGTGGAACGGGTTCAGCGCGCGGCTCGTCGAGAGAGAGAAAGAGGGGATGTCTCCGTGCGTGTAGGCGTGTGTGTATGTGCTGCGCCGTGGATTATGCGAGACCGAGCCGGTTTATGCGTAGTGAGGCCCCATTGCGTGGGGAGAGTAAAAGGGGGCGTGGCGGATGGATAAATGATGCCTGTGCGTGTTCAGCGTTGGGTCTCTCTGCGGCTGCTACCGCCCTCTTTGCAGTTGCTTTTTCTTTTTCCTTCTTGTTTTTACTTCCTCCTTGTAGCGATAGTACGTGGCCTGCTGCACACAAAAGAGGGCGAGGGGACGGGCTAGGGTTAGGGTTTTATTTTATTTGTTCTTCGTTTGCTTGCTTTTAACTTTTATTACAGGCTGGGAGATGCAGTACCTCTACGATGACGTTGTACCGCCCTTTCGCTTCTTCGCGAAGATTGTGATGCGGTGCGTTAATAACGCCCTCGACGAGGCAACAAAGAATCACCGCACGGAACACGCAAGCTTGCATGTGCCCTACACAAGCATAGCGGCGGACAATCCCTGCTTGGTGGAGGTGCCCCCCGGGCTGGTGGCCCGCAGCGTCGCTGTCGGGCCAACACTCGACAGCGCCGCGGGAAGGATGAATGCGTCCGCGGGGAACAGCCTCTCTGCAGTCTGTGTAGTTGGCGACGTCGTGCTTTGCGGGTTCACCAATGGGCGAGTGACGCTGGTGTATAGCAGCCCGCATGGGGGCGCGTTTGAGACACTTGAGATCCCACCGTTCACCCCAAACCCGACTCAGGTGGTTGCGCTGAGTTGTGTGCCCCTCCGCGAGGGCCACTGGGTGGTTGCCGTCAGCCACGAGGCTTCCGTCTTTGTGCGCACGTTGGCGCTGAAGCAAAGCGTGCACCCCCCCATGGTGCTGAGAAAGAGGACGCAGCAGCGCGTCATTGAGATGCGCACCACCGAGTGGGCCTCCGGCGCCCGCGTGAGCTCGCTGCAGCTCTCGCCCTGCGTGAAGTATCTTGCGGTGGCGTTTAGCGACGATGCACTTGTCGCCGTTGCCGCGCTTCCATCGCTGGGGGTCTCGCGTCACGGCTTGGGCGACGGCCCTGAGCGGGTGACGTTGGATCTGACGTCGCGTTTGGTGGAGGACGGTCGTCTCGGCGGCAACCGTCAGGCCCGAGTCTTTTTTATGCCGGAGCGGCTGCCGGGGGGTTTGCGCTCGGCGTTCTTGTCGGCCTCGACGTGGACTGACCCCGAGACGACGGCCGGCGCCCACCACCCGCTCTGTCTGCTGGTGTGGGTGAACGGCAACAGCTACACGCGCTGCCCGCTGAAGAGCATCAGCGGAAGCGCCCTGAGGCGCCTGAGCACCGTCCTCGCCTCCGGGCCGCCCGTCACTGTGTCTTGTTCCAAAAAATCCATTCTCGCTGCCACCGCGGCGGAGGCGGCCGCCACTTCATCGGCGGCGCACCGAACAAGGCTCAAGTCGAAACTGGGCGCCGGCGGTTTGAAAGAGGGACTCGCAGACGCTGCGTCCGAGGCCGCGACAAGTTTACTGAGGCAATCACCGTTTATCGGTATGTACAGAGGTCTGTTGTCTGACAGGATTGTTGCGGCGGCCTTGGCGTCGGCGGACGGCACTGTAGTGGCGGTGGGGTGCGCCGGCGGGTGCGTCTACCTCATGGATGGACATGGCATTACATCGATGCTTTTTGCCACGCCGTTTCAGGGGAAATCGATGCGGCTAATGTCCTTGCACCCCTCTAAGGAACTCCGCTGCGGAATGGTGCTGCGGGCCGTGAGGGCGCCGCCGGGGGAAGGAAGGGGGGTCACGCTGGCGCACGCGCGCGGGAGCGTGTCGCCCGCCTTCCTTAGCGTGGGGACGGTGCGTTGTTTGCGGGATGTGGAGGGCCTAACGGCGGTGCTTCCACTGGGGGAGCTGCCGCTTGTCGTGCTCTTTTGCGCCCACGGCGTGTACCTCTGGGATGTCCACTACAACTGCGTGGTGGCGTCGCTGGCGGGGCTGCCGCCGCTGGAGCCGTTCTCCCTTTGCGAGGTTTTGTACCGTGGGGCGGCCAGCGGTGCGCTGCGCCCGACGTTGGCCAAAAAGCTTCGGTCGACGTTGTACCTGCCTTTCTGCACGGAGACGGCCATCGTCTGGTGGACCTCCGACGAGACCCTGGCGCGGCTCAGCATAGCCGACCTCCTTGCCCAGGTGTACCCGCTGCTGGACGCCGAGTTTCGGGGCCTCCCCATGCGGGCAATGGCGCACCTCCTCGCCCGCGTGCCACCGGCGCAGCGCCACGTACCCGAATGCGTGGCGAACTTTGAGCTCCCCGCGGAGTGCCAGTTACTGCTGGACACGTATGACGTGGCTTCTCCCGCTGCCGCTGTTGCCGCTGCCGTTGGTGGTGTTTTTGGTGGGGGCACTGGCGCCGGCCTCGCCGACCTGAAAGACCCGGCGAGGGAGGCGGCGCTGCACCGGTTTCCCGAGCTTCCCTTTGCCCCGCTGCACCCCGAGACAATTGCGTCGTGCTTCCTCGAGACGACGTGCTCCTCCGTGACGACGCGTGCGGAGGAACTGTCTGCCATGTTTGGCGCCTCACTGCCGCGTGGGTCGTGAATTAATGAAGGCAAAATGTAAAGTTATGTGCATTGGGTCGGGCGGACACCCAACTCGTGGGTGCGTGGTGAGGGCTGCGCGGGGGAAAAGGGTTTCAGCCCTCAACCAGTAACGAGGCAGGGCACTCAAGCAAAACAACAACAACAAAACCCCTTCCCGTTGTTTCCGCGTGGATTGGCTGCCGAAGTCGCAAGAATTTATTTCCCGGTGCCGTCTTGTACTTAACCCCCCCTTCTCTCTCCTTTAGTGCATTCAGTTTTCTATTATATATTTATATAAATATATTCCGTTGTCTCTCTCGTTCCCTCGCGGCTGCCCGGCTCCGAAGGAGCGGTGACGGTCGCGTGTGCGTGCGTTTGGGTGTGAGTGTGTGCAAACGGAGTAAATCCGCCTCTCCATCTGCTGTTTGTTCCGTTTTTTTTCTTCTTCCGCTTTTTCCCTGCACGGACGGGCACGCGACGAGTGGCCGATGCTGCGGCGCCTCCCCGACTGGGGCGCGGCCCTGTTGGCTCGCCAGGCGACAGCCGCACGCGTGGGGCTCTTCACACCGCTCCGGGGCGTGCGCCACAACCGCCACGACAGCTGCAGCGAGGAGCTGGCGAGCCGGTACTTCGACCTGCAGGACGTCCCGGCAGACCGCCTCACGCACCACTACTGGGACGACGTGGACTCGCCGTACGACGGCGCGTTTCTTCTTGACGAATTCCCCCTCGCGGAGGGCGGCGGGGACAACGAAGAACACGTTCTCCAGCCGGATCGGCGGCTGCTTTCGCAGGAGTACCTCTAGCCGTGCGGCGGCGGGGCGGGCCCCACGCAGTCACACACACACACAGAGGGAAAGGGCGGTAAACTCACAGAAGACGGAGGGATTCGGGCGTAACGGGGGAGCAGAGAAGGCGGAACTCGTACCCGGTGGGGCAGGGCGTGTCTCACGCGGCAAACCGGTCCTCTTGCGACGCGCGCATTCTTCCGGAAGAAGGTGGCGGCGGAAGGAGGAATAAAGACAACAACAAAGACGAGCGTCGCTCCTGCAGCTTCTCTCTGTATCGCTGTCGTTCCCCCCTCCCCTCCCCTCCTCCGCTGTGGCTTTCAGTGGCTTTGCCTCGTATCTCCCCACATTGCCTACCCGCTTTTTTTTTTTTGCCGCGCATATATATATTTGCCTGGCCGCCGCTGCCTTCCTTCTCCCTCCTCTCCTTTTGCCCCATAGTGTGTCACCCGCAGCGAAGCAGTTGGAGCCGAAATGCTGCGCTGGCGGTTGGGGTGCGTTGCGGTCTGCCTGGCGACCGCGGCCCCGCGCACCGCGTTGCGCGAGATGCACGGGAAACCGACGCAGTCGCACAAAGTCCGCACCCAGCACAGCCGGCGGTGGTGGACGCAGTCGAAGGCGCGCCACCTCACGGCGATGCCGCACGACGAGTGCCGGTCGCGCCCGCACTTCCCCGCCTATAACGAAGATGTGGATCGCCCCATGCTGGTGCCGGCCGGGGCCACCTGCTTCAACTGCGAGCAGCCCATTGATGATAGCGACATCAATAGCTACGTCTGGGTGCCGGCTGGCAACGCCACTGTCCCCACGACGCAGGGCTACTTTTTTCACTTCAAGTGCTTCAAGTGCTGGAAGTGCAAGTACCGCCTCATCCACAACAAGTTTTACTCCAAGGACGGCAAGGCGTGGTGCGTTTCCTGCGCCTTGGGAAGAGACATCCGCGTGCCCACGCGCCGGTGGCACACTTCCTACGTGAACACGCACCGCACGGGCTCTAGAATGGCGGGCCACTTTTTCCCACGACACAAGCATCAGATGGCGTTTTTGCTCGACCCGAATGAGTAGGGAACCTCAGGCGTATGCGTATTTCCTGCATCCGTTGTTACTTCACTCTGGCTGCCGCCTGACGACGCTCTCTCTACAAATATGTATTTCTTCTTTATCACTCTGTGTGTCCTGCATCGCAGTTCGCATTGGCCCCACTTTGTGCGTTGGATCCTGCGCTCTTTTCCTTCTTTAGTGCCTCCTCCCCTTGCTGTGTCTGTGCGTGTGTGCGGGCACCAGTACACCAACACACCGTCAACTGCAGGCATTGGCGCTGCCTGCAACACACCCTTTTCTGTGTGACTGTGTGTCGGTGTACTCCTGCCATCGTACCGACAGCCAATCACAATTGTACATACATACATATATATATATGTGTGTGTGTGTGTATGATTGTAGAAGTGTATAAAGGAGGCCAACGTGTAATTAGTACAGCAGCCAAGCATCAATGGAGCTGCTGCAAAGCGCGCTGGACGCGGTCTCATGGCGGCAGAATGTTGTGGAGTACCCATGCAGCATTCTAGGCAGCATGATAAACGACGACAACGAGCTCATGGAGCTCCTGCGCCACGGCTTCTTTCTTCTTACGTATCGCATGAATTTTAGTCCGCTGCCTCACTCTTCCGTGACCTCCGACAAGGGCTGGGGCTGCCTTGCACGGTCCTCACAGATGCTGCTTGCCCACGCGCTTTGGCGTTACTCGGCGAAAGACTGCAGGCTGGACTACTTCCGCGACCTAGACACCGCGGATAGCGCCCCCTTCTCGCTACACAACATGGTGCGGGCGGTGATGAAGAAGGCGGGGGTGTTCAGCCCAGAGTACTGGTCGCCGAGCCAGGGCTGCGAGGCGATCCGCTGCTGCGTCAACAACGCCGTGAACCGGCGGATTATCCCTCCGATCAGCGTCGTCGTTTGCTCGCAGGGGTGCCTGATGGCCAGGGAGATTAGTTCCAGCCTGGAGTCTGAGCCTGTGCTCATCTTGGCCCCCATGCGCTGCGGCGCCTCTCGGCGGATGACGCAGATGATGTTTTTTTCGCTCGAGTACCTTCTCCACTCCGCGGCGTGCCTGGGCGTGGTGGGCGGCGTGCCAAACCGCAGCTACTACATTCTGGGAACCAGCGGGCAGCGGCTGCTGTACCTGGACCCCCACTGCATGACGCAGGAGGCTCTCCTCTCGAGCCACGCGGAGGAGGCGGGCGTCGTGACAGTCACGGCGGGCCTCGTCAAGTGTGTGCGGTGGGACCGCCTCGATACCTCGTGCTTCTTGGGCTTCCTGGTGGATTCTCCCGCCGAGTGGCTGGGGCTGCGCAGCCGCCTGGATGAGCTGCAGCGGCGGGGCATAGAGCAACTGCTGTGCGTCAGCGACGACGCAGTGGCCGACCACCCCGACGAGGAGGCCGCGCGGTGGCCGAGCGAAGAGGACCTGACGGAGTAGCCGCCCCCTCTCGCGACGGCGCGTCTCAGTGTTTTTTTATTGGCAAACAGTCCGTGTGTACAATCCCGGCCGCGTACAGTCTTGCGGCGGCGCCGCTGTTCTTTTTTTTTTTTTTTTTACTTTTGCCGAGAAGCGGCGAGAGTGGGGGCGAGGAAGGAAGGGCAGACAGTAAACAGCAGCAATACGACGAAAAGAAAAGGAAAAGGAAAAGGAAAAGGAAAAAGAGAAGAGGTAAAACAACAACAACAACAACAACAACACGGAAAGGCGAGTGGAAGTGTGGGGTGCTGCGAGAGTGAGTGAAGAAACGAAAAACAAAACAAAACAAGTAAGACACCACCATCCTCATTGTTACTTTCTGTGTGCTTGCGGTGTAGTTTTCGAGCCTTGTTTTTTTGTTTTTTCCTTTTTGCTTGTTGTAGTGCTTTGGTGTTTGAAGCTGCCGGGAGGTGAGGCGAACGGGGGGAGGGGGGGGCTCTTATGACTGTCTTTTCCCCGCTCTCGTGGCCGCGCCTTTTCTCTCCTTCTCGTCCCCGGACGTGGGCGGAGGGAGCTGGCGAGTTACTGAGCGCGCTGCTTTTGCACCCGGCGCCTTGATTCTTTTCTCTCCTCTTCCCCTCCTTTTTCTGCGTGCGTGCAACGCTGACGCACGTTGCTGTGGCTCTCTCTGGGGGGGCAGTGTGTGTGTGTTTAGTTGAAGTGTAAAGTGGGCGTTGCTGCGGCATGCGGCGCTGCGTGGCGCCTTCGTGGCTGCGGTACCGCGGCATCGTGTGGGATGGGCGTGGCTCGTGCGGCTGCGTGGCGAGCAGTCGGCGCTGGTGCCTGTCGCTGCGTGTCCCCTCCGTCGAGCTCGCCGCCCCGCGCTCGCAGACGCACGAGGATCTCGCGTACGCCTCCTGCCCCATATGCGGTCGCCTGACGCACATGTGTGACATGTTCACGCACCTCACAACCGCCCACCGCGAGCTGAACCCGGCGCACTGCAAGAAGATCTGCAGCGCGCGGCTGCAGCTCTACCAGCAAGTGATTGGCGTTCCGCTGAAGAAGATGGAGCTCACCACGTCTGGGCGCCGGGTGCTCGACTTTCTCCCCACCGTGCTGCCCTCCGGCTACATCTGCAACTGGTGCGACAGGAAGAACGACTTGTACCCGACGCGGGACAAGTTCCTCAAGCACGTGGCCGACGTCCACGCGGAGATTGACCTGGAGGACATCGAGCAGCACGTCCCGCTGCCGCCGCGCGGTGTGGCGGAGGAGAAGAGCGGCGCCCGGGAGGCGGCGCGGCCCACGCGGCGCCTGAGTGGTGTTGAGGCGGTTGCGGAAACGTTCACCATTCCGCCCATCGCCCCGCGCCACGCGGCCGTTTCGATCCCGCGCGCCATCGACAAGCGGACAGCTGCGCCGCCGCCGGCGTTCAGCGAGACGGAGTTCCCGTGCGAGCTGTGCAACAGGGTGTTCCAGAGCGAGGCGGACTTGCTGCAGCACCTCGAGACGCGGCACCCGGACGGGACCGCCGAGGGGTCCGGCGACGTGGATCACTCCGCCGTCGCCGACGTTGCGGAGTTCACGGCGAAGGAGGCGACGATGGGCGGCAGCCAGCGCGTGCACGTCATCTGCGACCTCTGCCCCTCCTCGTCGAAGGTGTACACGATGCCGTCCGCGCTCTTCTCCCACATCCGTTTCAAGCACCCCGGCGAGGACGCCGCGTACCACGTGGAGCGCCTCATTCGCACAAGTAAAGGCCAGTCATTTGTGTGTAAGGTCTGCAACAAGGCATTTGCCACGGCCGCCGCACTGGAGGGCCACTTTAGCAGCAAACACGCCGAACAGGCGAGTGCGCCGGTGGGGCAGGGACGTGTGGCGATGAATAACTGCTGGTGGTGCCACGACTGTGAGAAGGGCTTTTCCTCCGCGAAGGGGCTGCACGGGCACATGCAGAACAAACACGGACTTTCTTCACAGATACATCCCTGTCCGGCGTGCAAGCGCGTCTTCTCGGACGTCTACTCGCTGGAGGAGCACATCACCCTGGCGCACAAGACGATCCATCTGCACGACATTGGGCTCCAGACGCACGCGAAGTGTGACATCTGCGACCGCTGCTTCTTAACCTACGAGGATCTGCACCGGCATGCCGTCAAACACCACAAGAAGGATCCCCGGGCGCCTGTTCGCCCGTTTGAGGCCACAGCCTTTTCCTCACCGGAGAAGGAGGAGGCGGCAAAGAGTGGCGCGCCTTCGTCGTCGCCCGTGCCCGCGCCAGCGCAGGCTCCACGCAAGGTAAAGAGGCGCAACAAGAGTGCTGCAGAGGCGGAGCCAAGTCCATAGCGGTGGGGCAGCAGGATGAAGGAGGGTGTGTGTATCCGCGAGGGAGAGAGAGAAAGAGACGGCGGTGCGACCCAGGCCTGCCTGGGGCGAAGCAGGAGAGAGCAGAAACGTAACAGCGAGAATGCCTAGAAGAGAGGAGCTGCTGCTAGGCTTTTTGCTTTGCTTCTCGACGGAGCCAAGTTTGCCTGCGGCGTCTTTACACATGCGCCAACTCCATCGCCCTCCGCATCTATGCGCCTTTTAGGATTCGCGCGCTGGCGGCGGCGGCGGCGGCGGCGGCACTCCGCGTGGCTGCGATGCATCCACCCTTGACGCCCCGCATCCTCGGCTATAAATAAATATCTGCTCCCACCGCCCTTTGTTTTGTTTGGTATTTGTTTTTCTTCTTGTGCTGGGCGAGGGCGTCAGGAAGGACTCAGCGCGCAGGTGCGTGTGGAAGCAAAGGGAGGGCGGGATTGCAGGACGGTGCAGTACACATCTACGAGCGATGGATGAGTTTGGTCCCGCCGGGGAACAGGCGCAACTCCGCACCGTGCAGCAGCTCCTCCACGCCTTTTCGGAGACGCCCTCCTGCGTGGTGCTCCTCAGCACCGCGCTTGGCGAGATGTTGGGCGTCCTCGCTCGCCAGCAGGAGTGCATCAGTGAAATAGTCGCCTCGCTGCAGGCAGCAAGGGAGGAGCGCAGACAAGAACTTTCTGCAGTGTCGCAGAGCCTTGCGGATGTTCTGCGTGACACCATTAACCGCACAGCGGCTGCCGTTAGTGAGATACGGGGGCAGGTATCTTGGCAACAACGCAAGTGCGGCGCTGTTTCATTTTCTGAAGAAAATTGTATCGAATTAAAACATGAGATTGCGGATCTTCGCCGATTAGTGCTGGATCGCCTGCCCCGTCAAAATTTTTCCGGGGCAGAGAGGCATGAAGGGGACAGTGCGGTCTACCCTGCACTTGCGGCTACGAGGGCAGAGCTGCGGGACCTCAGTGCACAACAGCAAGCTTTACTGGAGCTGCTTGACCTGCGCAAGACGTTGCTTCGCCAGGGGTACACTGGGGATTCGGCGGTGGACGTGCGTCAAATCCGCCTCCTTGACACTGTCGCAAAGGTGAAACTGGTGCACCAACTACCGTGTTTTCACGTCCTGGCGACGGCGCTCGCGTCCCCTGAGCGTCGCTTGCGTGCGGACGCGGCCGCCGCCAACCCCCCGGTGGCGTGAGTGGCTTCTACCTTTGTCTATCTCTCTCTCTCTGTTTGTGTGTGTTTGTGTGACATGGGCAACCTTGCAACTGTGTAGGGTCACGTGCGCGGCTGCTCTACCCTCCGATGCTTGGCGCTGTTGATCTCAGTTTCCCTGCGTTTCCTCTTCAGGAAAAGGTAAGGCGGAAGAAAAGGAAACTAGGGCGCCGGCGATAACCATCACGCTGGATTCGTTAGTTTTTTTTCTTTTTTTTCTTTTCTTTGCTTTCCTCGTTTCGCTGGGCCCTCTCCACCGGTGACTCGGGTGGTGCACGGCAACAGGGCGTTGGTGCGGCAGCAGGGCGCGGCGGCGGCCATCGTGCACGGAGGGGCGGAGGGCGTGGCGGGCGGGCCGAACCCCGGCTTCTTGCTGCTCCGTGTGCTTCTCTCGCGCCGACTTCGTCTCCCGCTGCGGGCGGCGCATCCGTGCAACGGGCCTGCGTGGTCGTGCACGTGAGGGGCCCCATGAACGTGCACTGGAAGCCGCGCGGCGGCGCTCGGGCGTCAGTCGGCAACATCAACGCCGTCGAGTTTGACCCGGACGTGGAGTTGCTCTGGGTCAGTGACAGCTTTGGCCGGCTGATGAGCTTCACGACGCAGAGCCAGACGAACACGCTCACCTGGACGGCGTACTCCTCCTTCTCGGCTTCGACGCGGCCGCTGTCCGGCATCTTTTTTCTCCCGCTGGGCGGCGAAAAAATCGTGACGGTGGCGGACCACAACGTTATTCGCGGCTACAAGCGGGGCGGCGCGCTGTTCCTCTGCCGTCCCCTGCCCCCGCAGTCGCAGAGTCACATCGAGCTTTTTCATGCGCACGGCGGCACTGGGGTCGTGAGCTTCACCGGCGACGTTGGGCTGACGCGCTTTTCCATCGGCAACGAGGGCGCCGACCGCTGCGTCACGGTGCCGCTGGGGGAGTCGACGAAGGTGGTAGCGCTGCAACAGACGGAGCGGTGGGTCATCACGGGCAGCACCTCCGGCAGCATCGTCGTCCGCGACAGCAACGACCTGCAGGTTGTGGACACGGTGCCCGCGTCGCGGCAGCGCGTGCTGGCGATGGACGCGTACGACGACACCATCGTGGCTGCCGTGGTGGAGCGCTCCATGACAAGCAGCGTGCGCGTGTACGACGTGCGCAGGTTGGCTGAGCCGGTGATCACAGTTGGCGGAATTCCCTCCGACACCGTCTCGCAGGTGCGCCGTTACCGCGACTCATTCGGCATTTCGGCGGATCGCGCGTTTGTTCTGACGTCGTGCGGGTTTCACATTCTGCAGATGGACCAGCCATCCCCGGTGTTCAGCTCCAGCGGCATGCTGGACGACGCCTGCACGGCGGTGAGCGTCTCCCCCAACGGCATGTGTGCCGCCATCGGGAACGACAAGGGCTACTTCGTCGCCCTCGCCCACCCGGCCACGCGGGAGGACTACGTCATGTCCCGCTTTGAGAAACCCCAGCGGCCGGTGAACCCCGTCTTCACGCAGAGCTGGGCGGAGAAGAAGGAGGGCGACACATTCGCCTACTTTGACGAGACGCTGCCGGCGGCGGAGCTCGCCTCCAGCTGGCCGCCCGAGAACTACATGATCCTCACCGTCCCGGCCCCCACCCGCTGCCTTAACGTGGAGTCCCGCACCGTGCTGCAGAACCGCTGGGGGTTCCTGCGCGCCGACTCCTACTTGCCCGACCCGAAGGACAAAGTCGCGTCGGAACTGCCGGACCCGTTCCCGTTTAACCTCGGGCTCGGCAAGGACCCGGCGGCGGTGCAGCGGAAGCTGCAGGAAATGAAAAAGGGTCAAAAGCGGCGCTACTTTGAGTTCCGTGATGGCTCCGCCGGGGACTACGCCCCGCTTGAGCCGGCGAGCCGCGTCTGCTACAGCATGCACCACCGCTTTGACTGGGAAAGCCACAACGCGATCCCACGCGACGTAGTGGGCCTCGACAACAGCTTCCCCGAGTGCTGGTTCACCACACTACTGCAGTCGCTCTACCTCTGTCACCCGCCAGTGTACCCCGTTCGCAAAGTCGTTTTGCGCCACCTCTGCACCCGCGAATACTGCATCGCGTGTGAGACTTCGATTATATTTGCGAATATGCTGATGACCTCCGCGACAGGGCTTGACCCGATTGTGCAGGTTGCCAACCTAATCCGCACCATGTACAAGCTGCCTGCAACAGATTCCCTCTTTGAGCCTGTCAAGTCCCGTGACGAGGCGGTAAAACGGATGCACACGGCACAGTCGACCCTGCTCGAGGCGCTGCATCGCGGGCTGCAGGATGAGAAGGCGTACCCCTTCATGGACTACAAACCTCCATGCCCCGACTTTGAGCGCTCCATCGCGTGCCTCTTTGGCACGGAGTTCTCCTCCGGTGGAACAGTCCACCTGGAGCCCCAGTTCTACTGGGATGTTCCTCCCTCCGCCCTCAAGGTTAATGAGGGGCTGCAGCACCTGCTCAAGCAAATTGAGTCCTACAGGGATGAAGTGCAGATCAAACGTCTGCCGCCAATTATTGTGTTGCGCCTGAATCATGAAGGGGGAACTCTGAAGCCGCCGAGCTGTTTGCATATCTCTCGCGAGGCGAAGGAGGATTCCAACTACGTCTTGTGCAGCAGCCTCATCCATCTCTCCGACGACGCCAATGACCCTGGTCGCTTTGTGATTCACCAACGCATACTTGATGATCGGTTTAGCCTGATAAACGATTATCGCGTGACGGCGCCGATGGAGGAGCAGGAGCTGGAGGACTCGATGCCTGCATTTCACTCCCATCGGGCTGTGGTGGCGTACTACGCCCTCGACAAGCTGGCGCCGCCGCCCTACAGCCTACAAGACGGCAACCGTCCACCCAACATGTTTGAGGTGCTTGGGCCGCTGCTGCTCAACGACGTTCTTGCGAAGCCGCTGCAGCGTGACCCGTCTGCACAACGGTTCAAGTCACCACTTGCCTCCTTCTACGAGATCAAGCCCAAGGACTTGGTCGCATTGGATGCGGAGTACGTGGTGTTGAGGTGGAACAGCCGGTGCGTGGATGCGGGAGTCGAGAAAAAACCGTCGCATAAGACGCATATGGCGCTTGCACGGCTGAGCTGCATTCTAAGCAGTGCCCCAGGGGAGGAGCGAACCATCGTGGACGATTACGTGCACACGCCCGAGGTGATTCAGGACTACGTGACGCAGTACAGTGGCATTCACCCCGGCGACCTGGACCCGCTTAAATCCTCCAAGTGCCTGACGAGCCGCAAGGCAACGTACTTGAAGCTTCGTGCCCTGGTGGATCGCGGCGTTGTGTTTGTGGGTCACGGGTTGTACCAGGACTTCCGCGTGTGCAACATTGCGGTCCCCACCGAGCAGATCATCGACACCCTCATGATGTTTCACAAGCCCGGTGGCAGGTACCTCTCGCTCCGCTTTCTTGCCTACCACGTGCTGGGGGAGCGTGTGCAGGAGGGCGAGCACGACTCCGTCGAGGACGCCCGCACCTCCCTGCGCCTGTACCGCAAGTACCAGCAGCTGGTGCGCGAGGGGAAGTTTGACGCCGTCCTCGACAAGCTGCTTGCGACCGGGGCGGAGACGAGCTGGTACGTGCCGGAGAGCCGTGATGCCTATGGCGTGTCCCCCGCGGCCTCCACCGGCATCTCGGGCTCGCCACTCTTCCCCGACGCCCCTGCGACGCTGGTGGAAGCCGCGGGGGACGTGGAGGACGGTGGATGCGCCTCCGCGGTGTAGTCGGCAGGGCACGGCCGCGCCCTCCTTTTGATTCATGTTTC